CCGGAAATTACGGTACTTGTACTATATGGTAAGAGAGTATGTGAATACCAATAAGCCTTTTGTTGCAATTTTGTTATGGTTGTAATATGCTACATAATAGATATATGTTTAGCTCAGTAAAGAATCTGATGGATAGGTGTGAAAACTTAAAGAAATAAATTATTTTGAACTTGTTATCCCAGATTTACAATATAAGATAACAACAGAAACAGAGTTTGGAAGAAACTTTGTAGTCAAGAAAGCCAGAGAAACAGTAAGTGTTCTAATGATTATAACTCCCCTTGTAATAAAATATGTTTATTTTTCATCCTGGTGTAAGATTAAAGATGAACTTTGTTCATTTGTCTCACAATAGAGTCGCTTTTGTTGATCACAATGTTTCAACTGCAATGCTGCTAGTCTTTGTCAGACAATGAAGACTAGCAGTATTGCAGCATCGCGGTTGAAACGTGGAAATCAACATCAAAAGTGACTCTATTGTGAGACAAATAAAGAAAGTTCATCTCCTAACTCCCCTTGTGTCCTTTTTTTTTTTTTTAAATCAAGTTTTCAAATTAAAGTTAGTGACTGGCTATAATGTGGCTTTTTATTGTTAGGAGAGGTGGTTCTTAAATGTTTTCTTTGGTTTATGATATAACATAATGCACAAAGATTTGCAATCGATACTGGCTCCCTGTAAAATTATTTTGTTGAATTTGAAAGCTAACAAGGTCTTTCAATAGAATTGTCACAGTTTTCAGCTTTAATTTTACATTTTCTTCTATTTTTCCAGGTTATGAAGAAGACAGGTGGTCTGTATCCTGCTCCACTTAGGATTATTGATGTAAGACAGTGCTTCATGATTTCTTTTGACAGACCGCAGAAGGCTTTATCTTGATATCATTTGTCAAAGGCAGTTCATGGAGCTCTATAATCTGCTCTTTTCTAATTTATATCTTCTTATCTAAAATAATTAATTGACAATATCTGGATTGGTGTCTTAAATGGCCATTTGCTTTTGACATGTCACTTCAAATGTTCTCTGAATATCCTTTACCACACCCTTTCTGCTTACAAGTCAGAGATCTAAATTTATTACTTTTAACCTTCAAACATGTTAATTATGACAAGTAATGAGCTTGTGAACTATATTGTAGAATAGTTATGTTCCTCATTTTAGCTTAGCCATTCTTGTAGCACCTGATTGGTCAATATCAAAATAACTTGCTAGTGACTCCCCTAAATGTTACTACTCAATATTCTCAAAAGGATTCTTATCACCTGCCATGATAGTAACAGTAAATTTTACACTGTATTTTTGGCTTTTTCTTGGTAGGTTGTAAAAGAAAGTCTAGAAAAAGGTCCAGCACATGGTTTCAAGAAAGAGGCTGAGGTTAGTGTGGTTGACTGGAGGGCATTGCTTTAGACATTGTTGATAATGATATTTAAAAATTTTTATAGGGCAGTTGCTACAAAATATTTTACTGCACCATATGTACATGTAGCCTAATTAATATTATGGAAAAAGCGGCTGAAATTTGCAATTTTGATTTTCCTCATTATGTACTTGAAAAAAAATGAAAGAAAGTTTCAAGTCCACTTTTAAGAAAATATTTTTTGTTGGAAATAGAGCAAAGTAAATTGTAGATGGAAGCAGATTGCAAAGACTAGGGATGGCACTGCTAAACAATTATAGATCCATGAAGGTCTAAGAGTTTACCCTTTTACAGTACTTTCATCAATCATTGTTCTTACCATGTTAGTTATACTAAACATCAACATAATAATGTACATGCAATAATTCACTGTGTTGCTGAAGGAGTGAAAGCAAGAGTACTGCCGGTATTATCCCTGTGTGCTTGAAGAATTGAAAGGTTTTTTTGTTTCCAGGGATTTGGCGAATTAAGTCAAACTACTGAAGCCAAAGCCTTAATGGGATTGTTCTTTGGTCAGACAGAATGCAAAAAGAACCATTATGGTAAACCTAAAAGGCCAGTTAAGTAAGTAACTATAATTCAAAGAGTGCTTGAAAGAAAGCTTTGAGTGAATGTTAAATGCAACTTCAACACCTTCCAGTATAGCTTTCCCCCTTAATTGTTTAAAACTGTGCTTTCTATGAATTAGATGAAACACCCATGGGATATTTGTTTTTACAGTTTCATATGAATTTTCAAGAGATTGCATACATTTTGACCTCTTTTTTTTCTGGTAACATATTGAGGAATTTTTGATGAAACAACCTGTAATAATCTACACCAACAACAAACTTTGTTTTCTAAAAACAAAAAAAGTGGAAATTAAAGTATGTGTGTGTGGGTGGTTTTTTATTTGAAGGGAGACCCTAATAAGACCTGTTTCTGTTACAACTTTTGTTAGATTGAATATGGCAATGTACTGTTTACATGTCTATAACTCATTGACTGTTATTATAGTATTTAGGTTGTTGTATTGCAAGTTTAATGACAGTGATGCTCTCTTCAAAAATAGTACTAACAATATTTTGACAATCACTTTGTCTCTTCATTAGCACTGTTGCTGTCCTAGGTGCTGGTCTCATGGGTGCTGGAATTGCACAGGTAAGTAAGGAAAGCTTTTATGAAATCAAAACTCTGGCTCAAAGGTTTGCTACAGTCTCTAGCTCTTGTGAATATGTGGTGAGCTTTCTTGATTATTTTTTTTGTATCTATTAAGTGTGGTCTACTGAAAATTTTAGGTGAAAATATTAGTGTAAATATTCTGATGGGCTGGGGACCATAATTATTACACATGTATCTTGCTAAAATCACTCTGCAGTGACTGTGTTGCATTTTAATGGGAAAATACTTGAATACAAATCTTCCAAATGGCTGCAGCACTTTTTATTTTCTATCTCTGAAGAAGAAGGAAAGGGTTTAAGTGTTCAGAATAAGGACCAGACTTTTAGCATCATCTTCCTTGTATCACTAAAACTCCATCAAATGCAGCAGCAACTTCCATGAACCATTTCTGTTGGTTAGCTAGTATTCTAGTAACAAATTGTTGGGATGGTATTAAGTCAAATCAGAGTGTGTATACCATTCACCTTTCAGGATACTTAATTTGCATTAGATATAATTATTATTATTATGTTTATTTATTGTAGGTCAGCCTTCAAAAGGGGCATCAAGTGATAATGAAGGACAATATTCTAGAAGGACTTACACGAGGACAGGAGCAAATCTTTAAGGGGTATGTTGGTGAAAGCACTGAAATTTAGAAGTAAAACTTATCAAACATTAGAATGACTTTGCATCTAATTCTTTTTTTCTTGGCTTTAGATTTAATGGTCGAGTGAAGAAGAAGGCCATGACATCGTAAGTATTCAGCTTCTATCTAATGGTACTTTACAAAAATAAAAGGAAAAGATTTCTCTTTCACTGATTCTTTTACCCCAATTTTTTTCATCTAATAACAATCATCTTGATGAAAGTTGTTTCATATGTCAAGGGAGAACTTTTGAAGTCCAATCTGCCCCAGTCCACCCCAATCTTTTCTAATTCACTCCAACCCACTTGTATCCGCTCTGTTAAACCTTTAACTCCCATGAGTGACCAAGACAGAATTCACCTTATAATATCAATACAATATCAAGCAGACAAGTGATGAGAATAAAGAAAAATATAAATGAGGGCATGATTAGCTGATCCACTACCAAATTCTCAAAACAAACACAGTGAGAGTGATATGGCAGACAGTAAGGAGAATAAATAATGATATCGTGGAGTGAAAGGGTTAAAATCCATCCAACCCGGCCTTATTCATTCCAATTCCATTCCTTGTAGTCCTCTCTAGTCAACTATCTAAAGAGAGATTTTGCTGTCAATCATAGATTATTTTAATTTTATTGATATTAATAACAATAGTGATGATATTGTTATTAAATTTTTGCAGATTTGAAAGAGATCAAGTGATGTCTAACTTGTCAGCTCAATTAGACTTTACGGTAAATATTTCATGTTCTTTCTTAGATTTTTCTAGCACAGGGATTTTTCCCTTTGCCCAAGCAACAATCCACTGTGCATTAACAATTATTTTTTATTAATCTAATTTAATCTAATGAAGAGGTAGACCCTTAATGTGAACTGATTTTTTTTTTTGCAGTTTCACTCTTGCAAACAGGTTATAGAAATAAAGAAGTGTAAGCTTGATAGAACAGTATATTATCGTAACTACTTGACAGGGAATAAAGCTATGAGAGAGAATTACAAATTATGATTTCTTTGATCTTGCATGGTTTTGGGCTAGGAAATATTAATATCATACTGTGACAACAGACTCTCTCTCCATTCCTTTGAATGCTTGCTGTAAGATCAACTGGATTTCTACCAACACCGTATGCACACTTATATGTATTTTCCATTTATTGTAGAATTTTCAAAAGGCAGACATGGTGATTGAAGCTGTCTTTGAGGATATTAACATCAAACACAAGGTCATTAAGGAAATTGAACAGGTCAGGCCAATTCTTTGTTGTGTATCCCATTTTATGCTCTCATATTCTCACTGTCTGTGATTGTAATCAGTTAGTTTTTTAAGAAATATGATGAGGGATTTTTTTTTCATGTCTGTAGGTCATCCCTGAACATTGTGTGTTTGCTTCAAATACATCAGCTCTACCTATACATCAGGTCAGTCCTGTTCCCAATACATAAAGCTTACTTTTTGGTGTTGAAATTCAACTTTTCAGTGCCGTGGTCTGTGTGTTTTACCTGTGGTAAACCCTTATTGAGGTTACATATAATAAATAAATGCACAGAAAAAATTAAAGTTTGGACTGAAACAAGTTGATATTTGTATACTTTTTTATTATGTTTAACTGTGAAAATATGTCTGTCCGTCCCTTGCATTGGACTTATTTGTTGTGAAATAAATATTTTCCAGATTGCAGAAGCTAGTAAAAGACCTGAGAAGGTGAGGGAAAGGCTATAGTTTATAACATTTCAATGTGATTTCAGCCTAATTTTGTAGAGGAAGTATGAAGTTCTCAAAGGATCTGTTATCAACACATCACTACTAAGACAAAAACACCATTTATCTACAGTATTGCCATGTATAGGGCATTTGTCAACCTCTAGTGGATTGCACAACTGTTGATAATAATTGTTACCATGGGCAAATAATTGTAACATTTAATTCCCTATGGTAAATAATGTGGCTGAGTTTCTTAATCTTTAAAATCAACTTTATTGAAAATTACATATCAATATTATTTTATATCAGTTAGTTATTCAATATATCCCCACAATGTACAGGTTATAGGAATGCACTACTTTTCACCTGTGGATAAAATGCCACTTTTGGAAATCATTACCACAGACAAAACTTCAAATGACACAGCTGGTGAGAGGATTTGTAAAATATTATTATCATTTTTTAAAATCAATATTTACTTGTTGTCATGTGCATTTATTTGAAAAAAGGATGCCAAGCCTGCTTTCATTTTTTCACCAAAAAAGTAAGTTAAGCATTGCATGTTTGTTCTGTTGTTTTTGTCAGCTGCTGCTGTCGATGTTGGTTTGAAGCAAGGGAAGACAGTCATTGTTGTAAAGGTGATTTATTTTATTCTGTTTTTTTTTTTTTTTAATTGACTCTCTCCGCCTATCTCCATCCATCTGTCTAACAAGAAACAAGTCAGATAGCATTTAGATTTCTGTATCAGAGGTACTGCTCAAATATGAAACTAATGACCCTCTGAAGACAGTATCCCCTTAAAGGTAGAGATATACATTTAAAATGCATGTATTTTATTTAATTCTGAAGAATTGGTCATAACTTAGTCCTTGATGGTGAGAGCCCTTCAAAAGTTGTGACCCTAATTAAATATTTTCCCTTTTATTGGGAGACTTTAGAGGCAACAGACATGAAGTTATGAATTTCTGTACCTTCAGAGCAAAGTGTAATTTTAGATGCCATTGTCATGATTTTGTCAACTTAGAATATAGGCCATGCATGGGGGCAATTGGGTTTGCTGAAAGTAGTACCCTATCTAGTGGTACCCTTAGAAACTACTGCTAGGGAAAGGGTTGTTAAATTCAATCATGATAGGGGTTTATACTTCAAGAACAAGAATATGAAATAATATTTTATATGAAAAGTGGAGGGTGAAGATCATCTGAATAAGTACATACTTATCATATAGTTATTTACTAGTAAGTAATTTACTTATACAAGTCATATACTTTGCCAGCAAGAATCAACATCCTTCTCTAACTTGTAAGTGATTTGATTAATTAAAGGATGGTCCAGGTTTTTACACCACACGAATCCTGGCCCCCACATTAGCAGAGGCAGTGGCTCTTCTTCAGGTGAGATTGATAGGTAGCTGGTCATATGTATGAGCATTTTTTTATTATCTGTGGAGTCACTTCTTTTTGCCATAAACAAAAGTAACTCCATAACATCTCCCTGTTTCTTGTTTACTTTTTGTTGTAGGAAGGAGTCAGTCCAAAGGATCTTGATAAACTTACCAAGCAGTTTGGATTCCCAGTTGGATCAGCTACTTTGGCTGATGAGGTGGAAATAAAAGATTTTTATTTTGCAAATTGAGAGTTGTTGTTGTTGTTTGGGTGGATAATAGCTGTGTATCTGAAGATGAAAAATGCAGTTTAATGTCAGTGCTATGGTGATTCATACAATGTAATTGACATGACTGATATGATGTTGAACTGCATCTGCATTTTGGATTTTAGTGGTTTGCACTGCACACAGTAGCAATAATTATATAGTGTATTAGTAGTAAGTTGATACCTTTACAGTTTAGTAGTATAATAATGTTCTTAAATTAAACCTATAGGAATATAATTTCATTTGAAGAGAATTACTATGAAATCAAGCCAAAAGCATACACTACAGTTTCAGTCATACCACAGTTATGGCAACATATTATTCAAAGAAGGTTATCAATAATAAATTCAAGAACAGTTACATTCAGTAAGGCTTTTATTTTTAACCTGACCTGTCCCTTGAGTAGGCATGTTACTTAATTTCTGTGCCACAGTGCTAAACAGTTTGACTCTTTCTTTGTTCAGGTGGGTATTGATGTAGCTGCTCATGTTGCAGAGGATCTTGGGAAAGCTTTTGGTGAAAGGTGAGAGTTGCTTTGGTAATAAGGTTGGTAATGAAATCAGTTTGTGACAATGAGTGCTTTTTTTCCCCTCTGGTTTTTAGATTTGGCGGTGGTGATCCTGGAGTCTTAAAAGCAATGGTTGACGGAGGACATTTAGGTTTGTTACTTTGTTTTCTTCAAGAACTATTTCATTTTTTCAAGGAAGGCACAATTTATATCAAGGTGCTGTTGTATTTTCTTGTTTTCCTTTAAATTTATTTTTGGTAATTTCTCTGGCTGACAGGTCAAAACTTGCTGTCAATATTTGAATTTATGATAAAATATATTTTGTACATGTTAAATTAATCTCTGTAGTACTCATATTTAGTATTCTTTATGTTAATAGGAAGGAAATCTGGAAAAGGCTTCTTCGTGTATGCTGGAAAAGGCAAGAGAGAAGTAAGTAATCATTTCACCTACTTAATAACAAATTATATTACTGGTATTTTAGTTGAAAGCAGTTGATGACCATGGTGAATTTCTAATCATTCAGTTTATTGCACTTGTATTGTTTTTGGCGGCATGTACACAAGGTTGGTTTATTCAAAATTTGTGTTTATGAGAGGTTTAGATCACTCCTTAATCTTTTTTTCTTATAGACCAATGGTGCAGCAGAGAAGATTCTTAAAGAGTTTTCCACCCCCAAGAAGGGAAGGTCAGTATGATTTCACCTATTCCATGTGTTGCCCTTTTAGTTATTATTATTATTATTTCAGAGAAAAAATTGATCAGGAATGTTTTGAATTCTCCCACTTCTCCAGAACTGCAAGCACTGTACAAATTTTAAGTCTTCATTGAAAGTGATGGCTAGGTTTTTTTTTGTCTGTCATTGTTTTTCGTTCGACAGTTAACAAATTTTCATTACAATCACAAAAACCAACGCTATTTGAAACTTATTTTCCTTTCATTATCTCATTCTTTTTCCTTAGTCATGATGCTGAGGAAATTCAGATGAGACTGGCAGCCCGTTTTGTCAATGAATCTATACTTTGTCTACAAGAAGGAATTTTGAGAAATCCAGTAAGTGTGACTTTTTGCAAGCCAGTATCAATTTGTTATTCTTCCAACATTTAGAATAGAGGCTGAGCTCTGTGTGGTAACCAACAACATGACCAAAGAATCCTGTCATTTAAGCAATTTTGTTGAAGTATACCAAACATTTCTTTTATCACAATATCCTGCAATGCTGATGTCTTATAACATACTATTGCATAGAAGTACATGAAATAAGCATGTATGACTGTTCTCAAAGTGAGATCAATAATAATCTGAGATTGCAGTCACTACTTAGTGATGTTGTTGTCACTGAATACTGCTGGTCTTCATCTTGAGACAAAGTAATATCTTATAAGCAAAATATTCATTTTTCATTTTAGGTTGATGGGGACATTGGTGCTGTATTTGGTCTTGGATTCCCACCTTTTCATGGAGGTTAGTTTAAAGAATTTTTCTTAATTTGCTGAGAGCTCTTACTAATTCCATGGTTGAATGTTAATGAAGCAATCGCAAAAGCCGTCACTCCCAATCTGACTCTGTTGACAGTACTTTCTAAGCCATGTCCTGTATATACCTGTATGCCGTATTCTCATCATTTGACCATACAACAGCTTGAGATGCACAAGGTTGGCACCCTGTTTTTCTTAAGCAGATGGTCTGTTGTTGTCTCAGCCATGTGAAACCTTTGTCCCCTAATTCACAATTTGGAGTCTCTTTCAGTTAGGTAATCACCTTCAGATCACAGATAATAACTGTAATCTTTTCCAGGTCCTTTCCGCTATCTTGACACCTATGGAGCTGACAAATTTGTTGAGAGAATGGAAAAGCTACATGAAGCAATTGGTGGAGAACGCTTTGTTCCCTGTCAGATGTTGTTAGATTATGCCAAAGATCCAAGCAAGAAGTTCCACAAGAGATAATGTTCTGATAGTCTTTGTACTGTTGGGCATTTGCCTGGTCACAGAGTCTGTTAGATGATTTTGCATTCTTTCCACCATGGGAGGCTGCATCTATTTTTTTTAAACAGGAGTAGATGTGAATTTGCAAAGATTGTGTCATTTCTTTTTTAGGGTATTCTTTAAAAAAGATTCTTTAAGTTTTCTCAGTTCAAATCTCACACCAAGGAGTTTCTCTGTATACTAATAACATAGCGGCAGCTATGCTAATGAATGTCAACATGTTTGTATGAGGAAAAACTAAATAAAAGCCACAAACAAACTTGTGCATTTGTCTTATAATAAAAATTTTACAACCTGGTCTATTCAACATTGGTAACATAAATTGTACATTCCCTGAAATGACAGCATAACTTTTGGCAATTCTAAATTGCAAGCTTACTTAATAACCTTAACTGCAAACTCAAAATGAATAAGTCAGTAAAGGAAAGATATCTTGACTGACTACAGCCCCAGTGGGGCTTTCCAGAGCCAATGGTTGTACAGTAATTGATGAAACAAGTACTTAAATAGACAAAATAAGATAGTTAAATATCTCAATGGGGAGGAAAAGGAACAGTTAATTTGCTATTAAGTGCAGCCAAGAAATTAAACCTGGAGATTTTGGGGTTGAAAGGCCAGTAACATTGGTAAGACACACTGCCTTCAAATCAAATGTTAAGTTACAGCTTTTGCACTTTGAGTAGGAAAGAGATTAGCAATAGGCTATGTCAATTTTTTAAGTTTGCATTGTATCAAAACCTCTGAGAATTCTCTCTCAGATGGGCCAAATAGCTGGCCATAACTACATGTGCTTCCACAGGTTTGGGAAGATGTAATGATACTTAGCTCAAAATATAATCCCAGCATCTGTTTACTGAACTATTTACTTGTAAAGATTTTTGTTTGTTTCCACTAAACTCGTTGGTCATTGATGCATTCACTCAACTTCTTCATTTGCAATTCAACACATGGGAACTCAAACATGTTAAATAATCATACTTAATTCTGTGCATACTAACAATAGTAAAGTACTAAACATTTTGGTAAAATACTGGTATCTATGAAATAAGTTCACTTATTTTGTCTGCAATCTCAGAGCAGACTTTAGAAAAGTGACTTAAAAGCAGAAGACATCAACTTAAGTCTATGTTATATGCTTCTGTTTAAAATCAGAGAATAATCTATATATTCTGAAAAATAGGAAATGTATTCTCAAACAAAATATATCAAAATTGATCAGCAAAACTTTAAAACAGTCCCCTCTAACTCAAGGGGACTTAAAAGTATTTACCTAATTTTTGCTATAACTCACTGAAAATATTTGTATAATGAGCTTTAAAGTTAGTTGAACTAACTCATGACTACTGCAAGTTCAACAGGGGTCATATTCTTGAACAAAATGGTCAAACTCCTTCAGCTAGAACAATCCTAAAAAATTTAAAAGAACCATGATTACATAACATGTCTAAAAATATGCATAATAGGAACTGAGTATCCACTGTTAGCCTTGTTTGCTCAATAGACAAAGTTGAAAAAAACGTGTATGCATGCACAGGACTGCAAGGGGAATGATTATTTTACATGCAAGAGGTGTTTACCCTTATTTAAAATGTAATGCAATGGGCACACTGTCAGAAATGTGTAGTCTTCTGGCAGTTCAAACCACTTCATACCCTTGGGTTGGGCTGATCCCACACAACTACGCTAACCTTAGGTGAGAGTAATTTTTTTCACTTTATTTATATGGTTTTTCTGGCACTTAAAACCCTTATTAATATATGTTATTACGTTCATTTCTGTGTTGCACCTTAGATGAAACCCTGTAAAGTTCTACACACACAAGAGAGATGAAACCAAAGTTTAAGTTTAAAGCATGGACTTTCCACCCTAACATCACAAAGAATATTCATGATAAAATTCTCAATAAATTTCCTATGGTGTTGACAAAGAGAATTTGTTTAACAATCAAGAGCTTTAGACAGTGGTGATTTCCTATATTCTGGGAACTTTAACTTATGAATTAAGAGGTGATATTACTAAGAGAAATTAGAAGCTCGTCAATCTTTCATAGGGTTGAAAGGGTTCACTAATGGGAGCTACTTCTTAAACAATAGCACCCTGGATTTTTAATTCTCTTGAGGTAACCCTTACCATTACAATTCGGTTTACCTATGCCTCCAATCTACTTAGTGTTTCAAAGGAACAAAGTTTGTGGTCACCTACCCATTCTTCTCTGCAATATCACCATAAAGCATTGTTGTGGGTTCAAGAAGTTCTTTCTGCTTTTCTTCTTGAGTCAACTTTACTTCACCACGTGCTATTTTTTCATTTTCCTTTAAAATAAATAAGAAAAGCCACAAGTATTTTCATACAACTATCACAACTCAAAGGTTTTACTATATAAGTTTTATCTGGAAACAATTGTATGAGTAATTCTACTGGTATATGAGAAGTTGCTTATGCACTTGTTGAATTTCTTTTTGATGAAGTTCAAAGTTTCAAAGGACACTGGTAACAATTCCTGTCTGAGTAAACAATAAAGAGCCAACAGGTGAAGTGAATGAAAGTGATCCTCGCAGCAAACAGCTAGTTCTCCACTGACCTTAGAAGACACATAGCACCAAAACAAAAGACAAAACGTTAAAAAACTGAATGTTGTTTGACTAAGGATTCCTATGACAGGTGTTTTCTCCCATCCTACCAGTTCCCACTCTTCTCTTTTCTAAATCTTCTACTTGCAAAAAGAGATGGAAATGCAAGATTAACCAAACTAATGCGACATTTCTCCAATTCTTAGCCTACAACTATGAAAGGTCTCTTCAACACTGCCTTGCAGTAACCGTGTTGTACTTATTTTTAGTGATCGCGTCCATTCTTCGATGTTTTGATGCACTTTCCACTTTCAAATTATTATCAAGTAGTGCGCTTGCATGAATAATTAATTACATTTAGTCTTCGTATTTAATAATTGAACAATATTTCCAGTGATTTAAATAGGATTCCCTTTAGAAATACCTGTTTCCAAAGATCTTCAACAAAAAAAAATGATGAAATCGAAAGACACGAATTCATTGATCTCGGCCCATTTATATGATTAAGCATCATAATATAATCTGTCGACGTTAATGGCCATTGTTGATGTTACGAGTAAAATACGATGTTTGTTTTAAGTTATGCATATCAGCTGATTTTAATTTCCACTTTACAAACCTCGCTTTCTTTGTCCTCACGCCAGCGATAAATTTTAGTCATTGTGATAGACAGAAGATCAAAAGCCTCTTGTTGTGTTTGCAGCCAAAATACGTTCTCTGATTTCACCTGCAAAACATCAGCTAACCGCTTTTTAAAGTTGAATATTTCAGCAGAGCGTACACGACTCAACCACAACGGTTCTATTTCTTGAAAGATCACACCGTACAAACGCTCCCTGGGAAAGTTTCGCCACTCCAAGAAATCTTCAACAGCCATGTCTTTTTTCTTCTTTAGCCCATCTATTCGCACAGTTTCGTAATCCGTAACGAAGAAGACCCCTTCAGGTTCATCTTGTGTCCAATTATATTTCTTTCCAAAGGCAACGATCTGAAGTCCCTTCATGGTTGATGGCAGACTGTCTACCACCGACGGAATCATGCTCAACAAACTGATTGAAGGCCTTACAGTCAAAAGATTCGGAGAATTTACCACATTGTCCATTAATCGTTGGCACAGTTTTAAAGGTCCGTTTCCTGATCCGAAAAACAGCAGTTTGGGATCGAAATATTTGGGCACGTTGACATACCTTCTGCACAGAAACAAATCTTCGCAAAAGCCACCATCACTGAAGAGTGCAGCTCCAGCAGGTAAAATCGGCGCCGCCATTTCCGATAAAACACAGTTCTTAGGACAAGGGAAGTCTTTTAGTCTTGATGTGTACCATACGAACTCTTCAAGTCTACAATCCGGAACGGTCTGGAAAAATTTAAATTTCTAACACTGACGCCAAGGTCAACTGTTTACACATTTCCCTCCAAAATCACCGACGGTAATTTATAAGCGGTTTAGGCGTGAGAAAACTGGGTCCTATTATTCGACAGCAGTCTCAATCGTTCAACTTTCCTTGTAATAGCCAGACGAAGAGGGAGCTACTTTCCTCGCCTATAATAATTTCAAGATAGTTTGAGGTTATAAACTGAGTTGATAATGTAAATTGGCCACCGTTAGGAGTTTCTAAAGCTGAAATTTCGAGCGTTTGCTCTTTGTCGGGGTGAATGACCCACCCACCGACGCAGCACCTCAATTTCTTTAGAAACTTACCCCTATTTGATCATTTATTGTAATTTCAATCACTAGTCATAATTTGAGCATTTCAACCATTTAAAATATTAGATCCGAAGGTATTGTGGTCCGCGTGGATACCAGCATTGCCGCGGGCGTGTTTACCCGGAAAAAAAAAATATTATGTGGAGGAAAGTGGTTACCCAATGGATCCCACAGAGAGGCTGTCTTTGAGAGCTGTAACTTTCATTTACTCCATTTTATGGCATCTCATCTCCAATCTTTCCATCCCAGTTGTCACGGTCACTGTCATCAAAAGTGCAAACCACTTTGCTACATTTTATAATGTGAATGTACGCGTCCTTGTGTTGTACTCAGAAAATAAACAGCCCGTAAATTCCCTTCAACCAACAAGTGTAGGTAGCATATTAACGGAAGAAATATTTAATCTCATTCAGTAATAAATTAAGTAGCAGGGATATACTCCTCTAAAGAGAGAAACCTTTGGTTTAAAGGCCCACGAAAGCGTTATGTCAAAGCGGACAGAGAAACACTATCTTTAGATTTTAGTATATAAAAGGGTCCACCTTTTATTGAAAGATACTAAATGAAAAAGAAAATGAAGCTGAAGTAACAACACAGTTATCGACCAGAAATCTACTTCAAATTTTAGTCCTTCCATTTCGATGGAAGTCCCTCCGACACGCATGCGCACAGAGCAAATGAAACTTTGGATGATTTACGTTACATGCACCTATGTAAGTTAAAGCTTTATTTAAGAGGTCCAGCAAATACTAAACAGGCGGTAGGTAAAAAAATGATTCAGCGATGTGTTACTGTGAACACAACATCGTTTGTGGGCTCTATTTTACTCTCTCTCTCTCTCTCTCGCGACAGCGAGAAGGAGATAGCCCCAGCGAACGAGTTTTTCTCGTTTCCAAAGTCACTTTTTCAGGGGGCGAGTAAAAGAGGGTCCTTGGAAACGACGTTGGTATAAACAAAGTGAAAATATGGAGATAAGAGTAAGTTAGTATTATCAACTAAGTTAATAACGTAAATTGGCCTCTGTAGAGAGTTAAAAAACTGACGTTTTGAGCATTAGCCCCTCGTCAGAGCGATGGAGCGATTTACGTTATCAACTGAGTTGATAATACTAAATTACCCCCTTTAAGGAGATTAGGCTTACGTATTATCTCACTCGAAACAAGCAATTCCTTTACGTTACTGTACTTAAAATGACCATAAATAGCTGTATGCAATTAAACAAATTTAAAGTCACAAATGTAAGTTAAAACGAAAAAACTTGGTAAACCAAGAAGGAAACAGTCGAGATTTACATATTGTTTTAGCTTCAAGACAGTAACATAAGATATCGCAAAACCAAAACAGGGTCATTGATTGCGATCATATTATCATTCCCAGTCTTAAATCCAGGATGGAACTCCAACCTCCTCTCCGATCTAAGCAAGAAGCCTTCGTGTTGGAAGGCTATGCAAATGATAGAGCATGCGCATTTGGAGGTCGTTAGGGGATTGTTCTCAGGATAATGTAGATATTTTGCTTCATCATATTCGTAAAGAAAAAGACATTGTTCTAGTTTAGTGTGAAGGGCAGATAACGCCAGAGGACGAGGTGCTTCTTTGAGTTCAAACAATGAGTGCGATTACAGTGACAAGACGACATTGGTTGATTGACGTTGCAGTGCACTTTCAACACCCATCCCAAGGTCAGTACAATTCACAGTAACCCTTATCTGCATTACAAAGTCATCTGTCACTTTAGCCAACTGTCACACTTCACAGTTCACACACTTCACTTCACTTCACACTTCACACTTCACACTTCACTGGCATCCTTAATGTTTGACACGATGTCAATTTTTCTCACTGTAGCAGCGACAACTCGATGGAGAGACAGCGTGGAACCCATTCCAGTGCCAGGTCGCCGACCCTGTCCAGACTCGGTTCTCGCTCTCATGTTCACGTGCGACTCACGTGGCGAAGCTAACTTATCGCGATTGACCTGGCCACCGCCCGCGAGGTCGCTGGTATTTCCCCGCAGAGATATAAACTTTTTCACTAAGACTTTCCAGTCTATGACATCCTCGATTCTAGCAGTTCTGTACGTGCTTCCGCGATGATTAATACTTCCATTTGGAGGCCACGAGGTGGAAGTTTCGTATAACGGGTTCATTGAATTACTTTCGGGAAGCTGTTCGTCGGTGCGGAGAATATCAATAATGTCGGCTCGGCAACATTTGAATTTTGCTTTGTAAAGTACACGGATGTAAGAGAAGAGTTTTGTAACAAGATTCAGTGGGGAAGGCGTGGTCGTAGACCGCTTCATGTTGCGGATCAGTTTAGCGCGGCCGAATTTCCACTCGATATCAGACTGCATTTGAATTCTTTGGTAAGTGTCGCTCATCATAGCTATGAGCAGATTGATGAGAACGATGATTGTAATCAAGTTGTAGATTCCGAATGTCGCTCTTGCCAACACATGCACGTGGGTCTCCTGGACGTTTTCCGTCAGTTTGCTGACCTCTGTCAATCCAAACAAACTGAAGAAAAGTAGCTCGAAACACCGGAGAAAACTTTTTGACGTGTCCTGTAGTCCAAGTGCGGTTCCATTGGGTTGTTTAGACCGATAGACGGCCGCTAAGTGCGCGGTAAATCCCACCATGAAGATCAATAAAATGACAAGAAAACGCACCAGGTCGTACATGAGATCCCGGATGATTACCCCCCACGGACCGAACAAATGATGAAACGAGAGGAAGTCCAGGAGTTGTGCAAAGCAAAGCATCATGGATATTGCAAAGAACTGGTTTCGAGCGTATATTACGTCAACTTTGTAGTCGTCATGGATCCCGAACGCCGCTAAATGCACAAAAATGCCAATTAAACTCAAAAAGAGCACAATGATGGGTATCCAACCCAGTCCAGCGCGATCGTGGGGATCCGTGAGCTGGGATAAAAATAATCCTGACAGCCAGATCAGTAAGAGCCATTCATACCAACTAGGTAGTAATGTCTTTCCAGTTAAATCTGTCCATGGTACCACAACAGTGAAACAAAATAGTACAATAAGGTAGAAATGCGAGATCAAATGACAAATAAACTTGATAATCGGTATTTTATGATAACTGTCTTTCCAGGGAATGCAAAGAAATGCCCAAAGCGGTGGACAAATCAGGCATAGCGTAAACAATAAGAAATACTTCCAATCATCCCATTGAAAATCTCCGCGCCAAACGTCGCCCAAGTAAACCTGAACCGATGGGTGCGACACGCATTTCTTTTGGTCACATTCGATGAGGTAATCCAAGAATGGTACTTCCCGGTCGTCAACAGCGGTCAGCAGTATCTCGGCGCTATCTGCGCATGCGAGAGAAAGCAATTCGGACGCAATGTTCTCACAGACATCTCCCGCCGCCAACAGATCGCGCCCGCGCTCTTTTTCCCTCGTGGACTCGTTACGGTAATGCTTTGAGAGTTTAGCTGCGGCGTAAATAGGGGCTGGGCACTGCAGGATGAAGTCTATGACTGATTCGTTTTCGTCCAGGTTTGAACAGACCATCAAATCAAACAAGAACTGCAAGAAATACAATGATAACAAGTGAAATGAAGACACAAAAACGAGCACGTAGCCTGTTCACGGGTGAATAAATGGGCAAGAAGATAATCTACGAGAAAACTCCGGAGCAGCGAAAAGGAATCCTGCCCAAACAGACTCTCTGGACTAGCTCCATCTAGACTTGAAACATACTTCTGTTCCTTTGTTCCATCGATGAATGTGCAAGAAAGCAAGCAAATAAGCAACCAAAAACAAGAAATAGGCCTATTTTCTCTCTGCTTCGCTTGATGACCTTCTTTAGCAGGTTTATGACTTAATTTTTGTTCCTTCTACGTGGTTATTTGCTCGATAGGAATTACTTTCCACATCCTCCCCCGGAATATGATCTTGACAAAACGTGTTTTTAAAATCCAACAGTGATGCAGGAGTAATGTGATACCTTTCGGTCTCCAAGCAACGTCTCAGTGCTGAGTTCCTCTTGTAGCAAAAACTTCACAACAGTCAGGTGACCGTGCATGGCAGCGTAACAAATGGGGAATTTGCCATCCTATGAGAAACGGGACACCTCTTTTATTAAGACAAATTTATGGCTACGTCGTATTTCTATATGTCTCATTACATGTAATCAGTGCTCATCTCAATCCCAGGTTCCCTGGAGCGGGGAGAAGAGAGACCTAAGAACGAGGTTGCTTTATTGGAATTTTTGAATCAGATCAGAACCCCTTTTGCGACCAAGCCTGTTCAATCTAGAAGGCTTAATAGTCACTTCTTCTTTTGTGTGAGATTTTATGGACGAAAATGAAGTCGAAGTGTATGAAACGCGGAAGAAGAAGGAGGCTAAACTCTATGGCCGGTCATTTTTACCTAACAAGCTTGTACAATTATGTATCTTTCGTTTGTTCGGATCGAAAACGTATCAAGAAATGGCCCATTGTTCCGGGTCAACTTTTCCAGCTGTTTTTAAATGTTGATTACACATGATGTACTGATCGAGGAAATTATCTCTAAGTTTTGAGAGAACATCTATTCTGAGTTATTCTCGTTTTCAATCAAACGCGCGGCAAGACGAGGGTGTGATATTTTTACTCACAAGTCTCACAATGGAGAAGTTGCGAATTTTTTTTTGTTTTGTTTTATATTCTCTTTCGGAGGAAAAAAACAGGTTTTGCTTGAACTAACATAATTTTACGACAGATTCTAACAGTCTTTATTAAAATTATAAAGCTATCAACAGTTTTCCCAAACATTCCCTTTGCAGAATGCGGACGTTATGACTTTATGTTTATTTTCAATATAGCGCGAAAGCAAGTTATGGGAGGCGATTGCGCAGCACTTTATGCATACGAGGAAGTACAAGGAAAGAACAACTGCATGACAACTTTCTGAACAGCTGTTTTACTCGTTAAGCTGTCATACTCAATAATTTTCTCAAAGGAGGACCGTAAACAAAGAGATAGAAAAAGATACTAATCATGAAAACGATAGAAAGATAATGGTTCGAGGCATAGTTTAATTTATTAATTACATAGGTAAGGTTGCGTTGTAAATACCGATGATATAGATTCTAAAAAAACCTCATGATGTGTTTGAATATATATCCTACTGGTAACACGTTTACCACTAGAGATTCACGTTTTTCGCACGAGTCGTGATCAGTTGTGTACACTAATAATTCTGAAACAGGCGGAACGTCATGAGTCAGCAATGTTTAGCATTGGTACTGATCTTGTTTATGTTTGGCCTCAAAATGGAGCATTTTTCAAATAAAAAGTTGCGACAGTTGAAAATGTTACCGCAGTCTTACTACATTTGTTTCAGGCAACAACTCAATACGGTACACTGCCCCATTTCTTCGAGCGCACCTCGCTTACCCCTTCCGCGCACAGTTTATTTCTTCGCTATCGATCTTAAAGCAAATTGTTGATAACTTTGTAATTTTCCGAACACGATCAAACACAAGTAATTAATTTTGCTTGGTGCTTGCCTTAATCAAAGGTTATCCTGAAGACTTATTTGATCAATATGCCAAAAGCCCAGCAAAATATAACATCAACTTCTTCTTGGATTTTTAAACGCCGCGAGTTACGAAAGGAAATAACTATTTTTTGTGCATGTTTTCCACAATCGCCTATTCTTCATCTAAGCTCGGCTTTGCACATGGATTTATAACGCAGCTAATTAATTGTGTCTTAAAAATGAACTTCGCAAAACGTTTACGATAGCGCGTCGAATGTGCCTCATCTTCCAGCAGTAAACAATTGGGTTCAAGGATGAGTTTAGGAAGACAACTGTCCATGAAGACATAGTAAAAATCTTAATTGCGGTATTTGGTCCTGAGCTTGCGGAAGCTGCAACAAAACTACAAAATTGTGGCAAATAGCAGATCAAAAACACAACATAAACATAAAAGGCCCCAGCTGCTGATTTTCTGCTGACTGCAAGATTGGCGACAGCCTCTGTATCTTGCTCCACTTGTTGTATTTGCACAACATAAATTTGACTTTTGTGGCGTCGCACGACGAAACAAATCTTGCAATACAGTACTGCGGAGATCACAAGACAAGAAACGCCAATTGGGGCAAAAATTGCGCTGGTAGTATTCCAAGAAAACGATACCGTAAAAGAAGAAAGGATAGCACTGAACACCCATAAGGAGATCACTGTGGAAACAACACGCTTGTGAGTCACAAGCTCCTCGTATCGGAGATGAAAATGAATGGCTAGAAATCTGTCTACACTTAGAGCCATAACACCGAAAAAGGAAGCTGCAGAAAAGAGGATTCCGATGAAAATAAACGCCGTATAAGTAGGACAAGTCGGACCGTTTGTTGCGTTCATCTGTAACCATTTGAAGAGCAAAACGATATTTAAGGGTTGCGCTAGTAAACCAACAGCAAGATCGGACACAGCCAGGCTCAGGAGAAGTGTTCTTAGAGTCTTTGGCAATGATGAAGTTGTTGTCACTGCTTTGATAGTGACACAGTTAAATATGATGGCAGTAATGGACAAGAAAGAGTTGAAGACGCAATTGGCAATGAACCATGAATATAACTTGACGTACTCATTTCCCGTGGGCCAAGACAGCAACAGTTCGCGACAAAGAGGATTTTTCATGATAATTCGAAGTAAGGAATAGCAAAAATTAAACCTTCAAGTGATATATGAAGTATTTTGTAAAGGTATTAAACTGCCTGTGTTTAAATTTTCACACGAGTCAGAAAAGGCTTGTTCGACGCTTGGTATCACATCAGAGTCGCCAATTTGAATACATTTCATCTACAAACTTGACAAATTATTTGCTTCTGATGTCAGGTGTCATTTATCTGATCTACCTACAAAAGATGTCCTAGGTTTTTCAATTCAGAAAGATTCTTATCTCAAGGCGAGAAGATCTAATAATTATCTTAAAAGTTTTAAACAAATTTTTAAGCGGAAGAACCTGGGTATGAACAGGAAATGATAATCTTGCTCGATATATAAAGATAACAGAGTAACATTTAGATGCTGACGGAGTGTCCTAAGGCGTTTGCCCAACTGTATTGAGTGATGCTGTATTCAATAGAACAAAAAAACACAAAATGAAAAAGAACTGTTTCAACAAATTGTGCGAGATTTTGTAGAACATTCTAATTTCTTGGTTTTTTTTTTTTTTGTCAGTGTTTCTGTTTTGGGTGTCATTAATTTGAGCCTCATAATGCAATGCTGGTCTTTCACCCATAATCTCTTATGGTATACTTTCAAATTTTATTGTTTATTCTTCTTTTGTTTTGTAATTAGTTTCTAGTTCGTAACCTAATGTGTTTAAATAACTGGCATTTTCATAGAAGGGACGAGAAAGTATTATTTCAGTTTTAAGCTGCCTGAGGTTATGAGAAGTCACGTGCGCAAATTAAACTTGTTTTGGCTTTTACCGCCAACCTCATGAACGGCCAGCTTCATTTACAACATCGAACTCATTGCAATAACAAAAAAAAAAGCCAAAAGGAGGATGAGAGGCTATTTTACGGGGTGATTCATAACATCAGCTGTCAAATAACTTCAAGTGAACTAAACAACATTTACTAATGATTAAAATTGGATTGAACAGCTGCCTGTTAAAAATGCGCGCGCATGCACGACCTGGGAGAAGTCTCTGACAAGAATGTCTAATGACTGACTAACGTTCGGAGGATGAGGTAAAACAATCCTCATTCTGCATACCCGCGATATGCAGTCACGTCCTCTATTCCTTGCAATCCAAAAAGGCGCAGCTTCATACATAATTATTCGGTAACGCAAGACACGTCACGAGGAGAATGTAGTCAACGTAACCGTTTTACTTTCCTTTAACCCCTTAATGTGACTAGCATCTAATTTCTCCTTACAATATCACCACTAAAACTCACATTAATATTTAGAGAATAAAGGAAATGATCACCAACTAAAGAAACTCTTGATTGTTAGACAAATTCTCCTTATCAGCACCTTAGTAAATGTATAGAGAACAGTATGGAGAATATGAATACAGTCGAACCTCGATTATCCGGACCCCGATTATCCGGACTATTCGATTATCCGGACTTTCTTCTCTGGTCCCAATTTTCCATGAATATTAATTAGTTGTGATCTAGAAAACTCAAAGTCGCAAAAAGCCCAATAATCCTTTCAAAAGACTGTTAAAACAGCGTATTATCCTATGCGCTTTTCAAAATTCGAAAGTGCGACTAGTCAAAGAAGTATTCTGATGCGTTCAGCTGATATATGGTTGGCTCAATTGTTTTGTTGCCAAGGGAATTTCATGCTTGATTAGTTCCTTCTGCGTGGGTTATGTAAACACACGAGCGATCGATCATAAACTCAAATCAAAAACATGCCTACGAAGCGAAAGCTTGCCGTTCTATTGATTAAAGA